AATGGTAAACTAGAGCTTGTGGTAGATCCTTATCAAATTCTTGAGAGGTACCTTTTTGTTTTTGGATTTTTTCTTTTCTTCTAGACTTTGATAGTGCAATGTCAAAAATTATCACCTTTGTAGGAATAGGAGTATGCCTCTTTCTATGAATTGAAGAGAATGCCTCTTTTGTGCTTCTCTTGATTTAGCTGGCTTTTGGAGTAAATGTTTGTTCTTTACAACTCTTTCATGTCTTTTTTCCAAGTTTCTTCTATGTGCAGATACATCGATTTCTTTCTTTAAATTGTTTTTATTCAATTATTTTTATTTTTCAGGTTTAGATACATACATTTAAAGTCTAGATACATGTTTAGTCAAGGGAATAAAGAAAAGGGGGAGAAAGAGTGGAGGTGGCGGAAGAGAATTTTGGTAATAAAATGATAAGTATAGTACCTTTTGTCTCTACTAAAGCAACTGTTGTTGTAGATAAAAGGTTGACTTGTGATATGTAAAATGAAGAAAAAAAGTAAAAAACTAATAGATCTCATATATATTGTTCTTTTCTTTTTGTTTGTGTCTAAGCAAGTGTGCTAAAGTGCATACAAAACATTTTCATTTGCACATACCTTTTATATGATTAAACAAACTTATTTCAAAAATGAGAATTTTTTCTTGCATAATCGTATGGAAAGGAATCATGCTAGCAGAAGGATTTTTAGATATGACTATCTTAATTTAATACTAAACTTTAGTTTTTATTTCATAATAGTTTTATAAACAAATTTGAGGTACTCTTTGCATCTCTTTAATAAAATTTTCTTTGCTAATAAAAAAAATATTACTGACCTTATATAACATTATATATGTATTTTAATAATATTTTATTAATTACTTTTTTATTAATATATTAGTTTATATTAAATTTTTGAATAATTTTTTTTTTCATTTCACGGCTTGGGTGATGCCCACAAAGTCCATGCAAAGTCCATGCTCTTGCACTCTGAGGTAGACGACGTCGTTGAGAGTCACCTTCCTTTTCCTCTTCCTCTTCCATCCTTTTGCTTCGATTGCCTTTTGCTTTGTTTTTGGGGAAATAAAAGGGCCATGTCAGCACATCAGGGCCATGTCATCAAAAAAAGTAGTTTACATCAAACCATGTCACAAAATCAAGTCCCACATGCACAAAGTCAGCAATGTATTAACGACAGATAAATGAGTTTTACGGTAAACTGATGTTTCATGACATCATACGTTAGATTTTGGCTAATTTATTTCAACTGAAAAGTAAGTGTGTTAATTTATTTCAATATATAAGTGACAGGGTTCAATTATTGCAAAAAAAGAATTTTGGGGTTAATCTCAACAATATCGAAAAGTACATGAGTTAAAATACCCTTTTTACCGTGAGAATACCGTTAAGAAAGTTTCAACTCTCAATTCTCTTTTCGTCGACACTTCTAGCAACGATTGATAATTATATTTATTATTAAAAAAAAAAACACCTTGGATCCGCACTAGGCTTGCAACTTTCTTTGAGTTGGCTCCACAAATGCCAAAGAAGCAAAGCAAACAATTTATCGATCGTATCAAAGTTGTCAATACCATATCAACATGCGTATCAGTTTTGCTACTTGAACGGTATGTATCGAAGACTAGAATTTTTCACGTACTGTTTTGGATTTATCACTACAAATATATATATTTTTATAAATTCAATATCAAATTTTAAACTAAGATAAGAGATACTAAAATTTAAAACCATCATATTCCTATAAATTGAAAATAAGTTTAAAATGATCATTTTTAGTCCCTCAACTTCTAATATATGTAATTTTTCATCCATTTACTTTAAATTAAGGGATTAAAATGTGTATATTTAAACAAATTTAACGAAATAATTGATAAAATGACTAAAAAAAATATGAAGAATGGACTAAAAAAAATATGAAGAATGGACTAAAAAAGTACATAAAAAAATTAAAGGATGAAAACTATGTAAAACATTAAAGTTGAGAACCAAAAATAAAATTTACTCTTTTAAAATTTGAATTGAGTTGTATGAAATAATTTTTTTGTACCAGCAATACTGTAGTGTATAATCTGAAATTACAATTGCAAGGTAATTAAGATTAAGAAGCCCCTAGCCCAAAACCACGTCGTTTTTTGGGTTAGGGAATCCTTTTTTTTTTTTTTTATAATTTGCTATAATGTGTACCAGCCGAAATTTCGATGCACCGAGCGAAATTTCAATGTATCGGTCAGTATACCGAATTTCAACTAGTACACCAAATTTTGACCAAAATGGATTTTCATATTATAATGTTTCCGTCACTGCAAAAAATCGGTACGTATTGACTGTACCAATCGGTATGGTACGAAATTGATAACATTAGATCGTATTCGTGCGGGGTGGTCCACGTACGACCTCACAATTGGATGAATGTGTGACCTGCCAACAGTAATGTAGTGAAGAGGAATGCTAGGGGCACTCACTCTAGCATTTTCACTTCAGCAATTGCTCTTCAATTTAGCACTGTTTTAAGGCTTGGCCCGTCTTGGTCGGTTGAACTGGCTCAATCGGACCTAGGCTTGAAAACAGGCTGAACACAACTTGCAGCCCATTTTAGCAATTGGCCAGCTCAAACCCGTCAGGCCTGCTCCACCCATTTGGCCCATTTCACCCATTCAACACGTCAGGTTGCATCTTATTTCTTCAATTAACCCTTTTTTTTTTTCATTTTCAAGTAATATACCCATTTATCTCATCTTTTTAATATTATTACAAAAAAAACCCCCTTAAACTTCAATTAAGATGAGATTTAAAAAATTCCTAATAAAAGACCATAATTGAAAAAAAAAAAAAAAACTCGGCACAAAAAATAGAAAGAAGAACTGAAGAAGAAAGCTCAAGAGTAGAATAAATCCTCGCCTCCTTCCTCCATTGTCCTCCCTACTCTCAACCACCACCGTTGGCAACCCTTTGGACAACCTTCGCGGCTCATATTCCTTAGCTTCCTCCATCGAACAATAGCAACACTGGTTCACCGAACGGAGCAATAGCAGGAACAAAGTAGCAGCAGCAGAGTAGATCTGCATCTACTATTAACCACCATTGCCGACAGCCCCTTCCATCCCTTTCGCGGCTCATCTTCCTTGCCTTCCTCCACCCAACAGCAGCAGCAGGAACACAGCAACAACGGCAGAACAGATCTACATCTGCTTTAAACCACCACCGTCGGTAGCCAGTAGCTTCTCCTTCACCGAACAGAGCTGCAGCACCAAACAAAGCAGCAACATCGAACAAAGCAGCATCATCAACCTTCCTCTCCTTCCTAGTGGGCAGAAACAGCCTCTCTTTCAGCCATCAAACAGAGTAGCCATCGAATAGAGCAGCAACACCTTCCTTTCCTTCATGCACTAAACAGAGTAGCAATAGCAAAACATATCTTCTTCTTCACAGCAGAACATAGCAACGTTTGTTTCTTAGTGGGTAAGAATTTATATATATATATATATATATATTTTGAACAATTGGTCAATGGGGCGGGTCGAACCCACCCAAGGGGAGGGGGATGCAACTTTCATCGTGGTAGTTGTCACTAGGCTCGAAGGCCAGGTGTGGGTAAGAATTTATATGATTGTTAATTGTTTATAGGAATTAATTTTTTTGGTTTAAGTACCATTTTAGTCCCTCAACTTATCACTTTGGTACCAAAATTGTCCTTCACCTTTAAAAAGTACCAAAATTATCCTTAAACTTTCAT